GACACAGAGGACACAGAGGACAGGGTGAGGACACAGAGGACAGGGTGAGGACACAGAGGACAGGGTGAGGACACAGAGGACAGGGTGAGGACACAGAGGACAGGGTGAGGACACAGAGTTATTGGAGCGACCCGCTCCAGTGAGAGCTGGAGATCAGGATCTGATGAAGCCAACAGGACCACATCATCCACAAAAAGCAGAGATGTGATCCTAAGGTCACCAAAAAGGATCCCCTCAACACCTTGGCTGCTCCTAGAAATTCTGTCCATAAAAGTTATGAACAGAATCGGTGACAAAGGACAAGCTTGGTGGAGTCCAACTCTCACTGGAAACGAGTCCGACTTACTACCTGCAATGTGGACCAAGCTCTGGCACCGGTCCTACAGGGACCTAACTACCCGTATCAACGGGCCTGATACCCCATACTCCTGGAGTACCCCCCACAGGAGTCCCTGAGGGACACGGTCGAACATCTTCTCCAAGTCCACAAATCACATGTAGACTGGTTAAACTCCCATGAACCCTCCAGGACCCTGCTGAGGGTGTAGAGCTGGTCCAGTGTTCCATGACCAGGACCAGAACCACACTGCTCTTCCTGAATCTGAGATTCGACTATCCAACGGACCCTCCTCTCCAGAACCCCTGAATAGACCTTACCAGGGGGGCTCAGAAGTGTGATCCCCCTGTAGTTGGAACACACTCTGTGGTCCTCCTTTTTAAATAGGGGGACCACCAYCCCGGTCTGCCAATCCAGGGGAACTGCCCCTGATGTCCACACGATATTATAAAGTTGCGTCAACCAACACAACCCCACAAATTCCAGAGCCTTAACGAACTCCAGGTGAATCTCATCCACCCCCGGTGCCCTGCCACCGAGGAGCTTTTTAACCACCTCAGTGACCTCAGCACCAGAGATTGGAGAGTCCGACCCAGGGACCCAAGGCTCTGCTTCTTCCCAACCACGCTTCTCCAGGTCTCATTGTCATTGCCCACATCAGTGTTGAAGTTCCCCAGCAGAACGAGGGAGTCCCCGTTAGGAGCGCTCTCCAGCACCTCCTCCAAGGACTCCAGAAAGGGTGGGTAATCTGAACTGTTGTTAGGCTCATAGGCACAAACAACAGTCAGGACCCGTCCCCCCACCTGTAGGTGGAGGGAGGCTACCCTCTCATTCACCGGGGTGAACTCCAACATACAGGCACAGAGATGAGGGGCAATAAGTATGCCCACTCCTGCTCGGTACCTCTCAGCATGGGCAACTCCAGAGTGGAAGAGTGTCCAACCCCTCTGGAGGAGACTGGTTCCAGAACCAGAGCGGTGCGTCGAGGTGAGTCCAACTATATCTAGTCAGAACCTCTCAACCTCACACACCAGCTCAGGCTCCTTCCCCACCAGAGAGGTGACATTCCATGTCCCTACAGCCAGCTTCTGTAGTCCAGGATCAGACCGCCAAGGTCCTCGTCTTCAACCAATGCCCATCACACAATGCACCTGACCCCCACAGCCCCTCCCACAGGTGGTGAGCCCATGGGAAGGGGGACCCACGTCTCCTCTTCAGGCTGTGCCTGGCCAGGCTCCATGGGTGAAAGCCCGGCCATCAGGCGCTCGTCAACTTGCCCCACCTCCAGGCCTGGCTCCAGGGTGGGGCCCTGGTGACCCATGTCTGGGCAAGAGAACACGAGATCCATCATCATTGCTCATCATGAGCCAGGGTTTCCACTACATGTAATTGATCGTGGTGCACCACCACGGCAAAAATCATAGCCACCACAATTTCAGAATAAGTATTTTTTATTTTTTTATAATAGGCCTATATTAGACTAAAACAAAGTAAAGCACATCATATATATTTATACCCTATATTTGTGCTCTTATACTAAACATAATCAGACTTTGAAACCCTATTTAAACATCAATGAAAAGTAAAGATATACTTTATTTTGAAAAACCAACTGCGCGGCTTCTTGTGCGCAGTGAGGCTGTGTGTAGTCCTCACAAAGATAGCAAGGCATGTATGTGTGTGTGATGTGACGCGTGATGAAAACTGTCTGATGCGACAGCTTTGAGCTACTTTTTTTTTTCTTTCAAGGAAGACAGGACAGGTGAAGCCACAGCATGGTTACCTTATCAATAATCACTCAGATACAGCAAGGATCACCACCACAGACCCGTGTGAGACCAGGAGTCAGCGGTTAGCCTGTTAGCGCTGATCAGCAGCGCAGCTACGAGCTAATGTAGCTAATATAACGTCCCTCAACTTTTAAAAAGTAATCAGAGTAGTTTGTGAACTCAAAACACCATAAATCCACTGAGCACATCCCTCCCCCCTCTCTGTCACACACCATCGAGCTGCAGCAGAGACGCTTTCAGGAGCATTAACCCTTTAGGGCCCAGATTTAAAATGTGGTAAATTTATTTTCAGTGACTGAAACTAAGGTTTTATTTTTTTGAATAGTTGCATTTTTAACTGTTGTCTTTTATATCTACAAGACTTGAGAGTTTTTCTGAAGTGTTACAAAGACAATTTCAAGCAACAGGACATGATTTAAGGATTTTTACTGATAATAATTTCTTTTAAACATGTTACAGAAGTAATAAGAAACAGGTTTAGTTTGTATAAACATAATAAATGTGTTAATTCCTACAAAACTGTCAAATATATTTACAAAATACACTAAACTGATTTGGATTAGCATAAAATAAATCATGTTTTATAATCAAATGTCTGTGTCAACAGCCCCCCCCCAAAATAAATAAATAAATAAGAAATAAAGACAGCCCACCACCACGGTTAAAAATAATCCTAGGGGAAATCCTGTGAAGGGTGTTTGAGCTGCACTTTGATCCCTCATCTAGGACCTGTTTTTTTTTTTTTGCTGTTTTATAAAGAGTAGTGTTTTATTTTTTGTAATTTATGTGTCGTGGTATGATTTACCAAGAATGCAGAAACAYGTTGGAATAAATGCACAGAAAGTCTGCGTGTATGGTCGTCAAATGATTTAATTTGAGCAACAAACAAACGCAAGTCAATCAGGAAGTCTGTTGGGTTTGTGGCTGCCTCGTCAGCAGAAACAGCCAATAATATAACATCATGTTAACATCATGTGACAGTTTAAAACCAATCACAATCCAACAAATACAACTGCCCAACCAATCACAGGGCTCTCAGCCCAAAGAGTTAACTTATCAAACAAGAGAGGTCAGTCCGTTGCTGGAGTCCTGACGTCTGGGGCAACAGATTAACAGCCGAAAGAAGTTATCATAAGATATATGAGTACTGGACAGGGTCAGGGTGAAACGGATATTAATAATTAGTCCATAACAGTATGGATTTTTTAATGTGCGTAATTTTTATTTGTGTTTTTTTTTAATGGAGATTGCCGCTTGTCAAGCCCCTTCAGGGTTTTCTTTTGGCAATTCTCCTTAACATTTGTATTTTTGTAATATAATTATGACACTATTCTTTTTTTTTTGTTTTATTCCATTTTTTCTCTTCTTATTTTATGAAGTTTTATTGTGAAATAAAGATAACTTATAACTCATTGGGTGACCCTACCAGGGCCATGAAGCCCGTGT